AGTAGCTGAGACTACAGGCGCCCGCCACCACGCCCGGCTAGTTTTTTGTATTTTTAGTAGAGACAGGGTTTCACCATGTTAGCCAGGATAGTCTCGATCTCCTGACCTCGTGATTCACCCGCCTCGGCCTCCCAAAGTGCTGGGATTACAGGCTTGAGCCACCGCGCCCGGCCAGTTCTCTCCTTTTTTTGGGCACCCAGTTGCCTCCTGGAATCTCTCTCCTATTGACTCGGGTTGGCTAAATTTTTGGAGAAAGCTTCCCCTCCCCAACACACCTGTAGAAGTTCCAAGGCCTGTTTGAATGTGTCCCTTAAGCCTTCTTCTCCAGGTAAGCTGCGCGTGTTTCTTTGGCCTGTCCTCGGAGGCCTCATTCTACTTCCTTCACTCCTCTTCCCTCCACTGAAGGCTCCTTTGCTATCAGGAGCTCCCTTAGCACCTTGGAACCCCAGGGGGCAGGTCACACATGGCCAGGCTCCATAGAATTCCCACCTGGCCAGGGCTAGAAGGAGATTTTACTCACAGGAGATCAGGAGCACCCAAGGGTCAGGGCCCACTGGGCCCAGTTCCCTACCCCTTCTCCATCTTCTCCAGTGTCCACCTATGTCACTCAGTGGACACTGACTCCCAGAATGAGGACCACATGATCCTAGAATGGCTGAGCTGAGCAGAATCTTGACGAGCAGCTGGCCTTGCATTTCTTGCACTGGGCTATGCTTACCCTGAGCCCTCAGCCACAGGCTGGGGGCCTCCCAAAGCTGTAGGGTGGCCAAGAAACACTTTGACTTCACTAGAAGATTCTGGGGAAAAGGCAAGTCACTTAACTGGCAAGTTGATCAAAACAATATTTTTATATTAAGACAGATGCGTATATGTTATGTAATATAATGCAGAAACATGAATTTCAAAGCCAAAGCAGGAGACTTCAGAGGTTTACACTACAGATAGGTTCCTTTGGGCTATTTCTTTAGTGTTCTGCCCCCAATTTGCCAACCAGCTGGCCCCCCTCTGCTGAGGGCTGTTTAGGTGGAGAACTTCGAGAACTTCGAGAAGCTCTGATTACTCCATTTCCTTTATTACTAGAGGTGAGGGAAGTGAGGACCAGAGTGGAGGGGTGATTAGACTGAAGACACACAGCTTGGAGGAGTCCAGATTGGAAACTCAGATCTGTTCTTTTCTCTGTACCAAGAAACGCTGCATAGAAGTTGCCTACTATGGCAAGAAAGGAATCAAAAATAGAAAAGAGGCTCCGGGTTGACCCTTGGTTATCCAGAGATACAATTGGAAGAACAATGTTACCAAGAGTCTGGGCTGTGGGTTGTAAGTAGCGCTGACTCCATTCAATGACAGAAGTATATTCCTTTACCTTAGGTTCTTTTAGGATCTAATGTTCTTTGGGAAAGAGGCTCAGGTGAAGAAGGGAGGAGAAGCCCAACGCCAGCGCCGGGAAGTGAGAGGAAGAAGGCCCAGAGAGCAGTAGGGACAGCCGGAGCCCACTCTGGATGTCAGGCTGGGGAACCGGTAGGACTTCCCTTGCTCACACACCCTGGGGTGCAGCTGCACACGTGTGTGAACACACGCACATACACGCACACCTCACACTCGGGCCCACCGATGCCGCAAAGCTTAAGATCCAACCATGCCTTACAAAGCTGGAATGTAAGAGACTACTGAGAATTGAGTTCTGCCCTCGCGACCATGAAACACCCCTGGATAACTGAAACGGCAATTGGAAGGGGGATTCAATCTTACCAGGCAAATTAAGCAAGCATAGCTCACTTTTACTCAAAACACTGTCCTTGAAAATATTAAATAAGGGTCAAAGGTTTTGTTTTTCTTTGTAAAGGTGTCTTTGACATTATTTTAAGTTTATGACACCCAACAGTCAAAAACCTTAAGACTGGCTTGTTGCTGTCCTGTGAACTTTCAGAAGTCACATCTCACAGAAGTGCGACTCTCAATATAATTTAATCAAGTCAATTAATACTGTTTAATAAATAGGCCAGAAAATTAGCTGCGAGTTTTTCTCGGCGGGATGTGGCGTGCGACCGAAGTTATGGAAGATTGTCCCTTGAATCACTAAGGCAAACTTTGCTGAGTGTCATTTTACATACAGCAATCACATAAAAAAAGAGTTATAAATAGAAAAAATTCCAAAGTTCTCCCACAGACAGACAGGGAAATCGAAACATCAAAAAAAAAAAAAAAAAAAAATTGAAGCAAAACAAAAACACAACCACCCCTCCCCCGACAACCCAGTTGCTTCAAGTTCTTGATCATACAGTACTCAACATCTTTGGATATTTTACAATGTACAACTCCAAACTGCAGCCAAGAAAAAACAGAAAGAATTAACCAGTCATCTGAAAAACTGAGTTTATAAGAAGTCATCACCTTTACAAAATAAAAACAAAAGCCCCAACACCACTGGATTCCAATTTATTCATGTTTCCTTTTTTTTTTTTTTTTTTTTCTCTCTCTTTTAAAGTCTGGTTCGGCCCCAATCGCTTGGCTGATGGGGGGGGACACGGGCACATTGGCTGGTGGACATGGGCATGCTTCTGGGGCAAGTGTCTGAAACGAAGACAGGAATCTGAGAGGCGGCTACAGGAATCTGAGAGGTGGCTGCCCAGGCAGATGACTTCTGAGAACAGAGGGCGTGTGTAGCAATCCTGCTGGCTGGAGTGGCATCCGGTGGTGCGAAGAATCAGGGGGTCTCTTCCGGAGAGCTGTGAGAGGGACAGAGTCTGTGCTCTTCTCTGGCCTTTTTGTTTGTTGTGTGTTTGCTCAGGAAAAAGCCAAGGCGACGGGAAGAGCTGAAGTCTCTTTGTGCCCACAGCACAGAGATTGGGGACTCCAGCCCTGGGCCCTCCCTGGGGATGAACCCTCCTCCTCTCTGGGCTGCTAAGAAACCAAAGCAAACTAGGCAAGAAAAGAGAGGGGAGGGAAGGGGAGAGAAGCTCAGGAAGGCACGGGGCCAGCAGAGCCTTCCTTTTCAGGACCTGCTGAAAACTCAAGAACCAGGAGAACATGTGACAGCTCTAACTCACAGAGCCCTTCAAACCTCAGAGGCCTCCATTTCTCTGCACTGAGCCCTTTTGTTAAAAAAGGGAGCCAAACACTCCCACTTCACCCCCAGAGGGAGGAGGAAGGGGTTGAGGGGTGTTCTCACACAGCAAACGGGACCATCGCTAGCAATGCCAAGGCCCTGAGGAACCCACAACTCAAAAAGCAAACAGATAAACCCTAGAAAACCAGGTATGTATTTTGTCTGTTTTCAGGAATCAGGGTGAGAGGAAACAGTTGCCAGGTGTTAAGAGGTGGCCCCCATCTCTTCGATGTTGGCCCTGAGAGCCCCAAGACACTGCACAGCCTTGGAAGGGGCATTGGAGATGGGGTAAACACTAAATAGTGCCACCAGGGGTCCAGACACGAACAGCGGCCTGCAGGGAAGGTAAGGTAGCATTCGGAGTTCGCAGACCTGCCTGTGGGCTTTGGTGAAGTTCGGAAGCTCCCCTGACCCCCGATCTCTGTCTAGTCTGGCCATATTTCTCACCTATGCTAATATGCTAATATAGAGCTGGATGTAATAAAACTAAGTCCAGAAAGATAAACTGTTTCCCCATGGACTTGGGGAGTACAAAGCTCCTACCTTCTCTGGGATTCTCTGGGGGGATAGGTGTGTATGTGTTTAGAGGTGGAGGGAGGAAACCTAAGTTACCAGCCCCTTCTATAGCCGGGTGACACTGAGCTACAGAGGGCTGACCTGTCAAGATCACAGGACAGGTAAGGGGAAAAACGGCCCTGGCCTCCCAGAGCCTGATTCCTGACTGGTTCCAGGGGGCCTCCCTGCCAACAGAGCATTTCTTTCTATGTGGCAGGTGGGTAGTTCTCAAAAAGACCCCGGGGCCACTGGAGACTGGAAAATGAGCCCTCAGAGGAGTGTTGGCAGAGACTCTGCCACAGGGGGTGGGGCTTAACCAAGGTGCATGCCCAGCCCCTACCTCCTCCTGCTCCACGTGGCTGGGCCCCAGACCAACCACCCCCTGACCCCTCGTAACTCACCCAGCTCCTAAGTGCCCCTGGGCATCCAGTTCTGTGTGGCTTGGGCCGGTGCAAATTTCTACATGAGAGCCAGAGAGACAGCCAGGGAGGGAGGCCCGGGCTCCTGGTCTTTTGGGAAGAGATGCCCGTCTCAGAACAGCAAAAGGAGGCAGCTGCTTTAGGAGCCTGGGAAAATGCCATCACTGATAGTATTATTATTTTTTTTCCATTTTCCCTTTGTGTTTTTAAAATGAAAAGTTCAGATCCATGGGGTGGGGAAGAGCGGGCCTGGAGGGAGAAGGACTGGAGGGCTGGTGGGCTGGAGTCGACAGTGACCAGCCTAGTTGTTGGCTTCAGACATGGAGGCCACGTGGTTGAGGCCGGCGAGCCCAGGGAGGCCGGCCAGGCCCGCGGCCCACGGGTCGGGCAGCGGGAAGTAGGGCCGCCCGGCTGCCACGTTCTCGGCCAGCGCGAAGGCCAGGAGGCCCCCCGCGTTCCTCTCAGCCTCCAGCTGCGCGCGCCCGAACAGCTTCATCTGCGTCTCCTCGAACTGCCGCTCCAGCTCCTGCAGGCTCAGGGCGCCCTTGGGCGCTGCCAGGAAGTGTTTGGCGGGGCTGGGGCCCGGGAGGCACACGGCTGCGCCGCCCAGGTGGCCGCCCACTTCGCCCAGAGCCGGAGGCATCACGAAGGCCGCCTTGTCGGGGGCCGGGCCACCCGGTCCGAAGAGCAGGCTGGCGGCCCTCCACGCAGCGGGCTTGCGGCCGCGTCGGGGCCGCGCCATGCGGCAGCTCTGGCGCTTGATGTGGCGGTGCAGGTGGTCGGAGCGCGTGAAGCTCTTGTAGCAGAACTCGCACTGGTAGGGCCGCACTCCCGTGTGGATGCGCATGTGGTTCTTGAGGTCGTAGTTGTGCACAAACTTGGCGTTGCAGTGGATGCACAGGTAGGGCCGCTCCCCCGTGTGCTTCCGCATGTGGATTTTCAGCTTGTCCTGCCTGCAATGCAGAGACTGGCGGTCAGTTCCGCAGGGAACACCAGGAGCCATTCCTAACCTTCTGCTCCCCTTTCCTTCAGAACCAGCCGAGGCTCCCTACTGCCATGGAGTCAAACCCCAGAAATAGGTCCCATGCTAGATCTACCCTCAACTGCTGCCCCACCTTAGACAGGTATGGTTACTCACCTGGATTAAAGGGATGTGGAAAAAACAGTGTCTGGAAAGTCCCACTCCCCTAAACTCCTTTTATATCCGAGTTCAGAGTCATGAAACTCCCACTCTATTAGGGGTTTATCTCACATACTGGGAAGACACTTCGCCAGAAGTCAGGGTTCTGACCTTAGTCCTCGGATAGTGCAGCGACTTCTGCTGATACTGGATTGCACTTTAATCTCACACCCACTCTCTCCAGGCAACCATATGCTTTCCCTCCAGTTCATCTATATGCTTTGGCCCAAAGTGCCTGGTCCCATCCCAGCCCCCGGGCTGTTGAGATCTGTCTGTGTTTGGCACTAATCTGGGAGGCTATAGAAGCTTGGGCACACCTTGTTCAAACCTCCTGCATGGTGGTTTCTTATCCTAAGCCTTGGGCTCTCCTCTTTGTCTGTAGACAATTTCAGGGTTTACAAAAGAGCCAGGTGCGAGAAGAATGCAGCCTAATCTAGGGCAAAACTTTTCGGGGTTTAAGTGGTATTATTCACAGGTAAGGTATGGTGTAGGGTGGGGCGCCTGTGACTTTTGGGGGTCTGGGAGCCTCTGCGCCAGCTGCAGACCCACCACCAACTTGGTGGTGACCTCAGGCAAGTTACTTAACCTCACTGCCCAGAGCTGAACCTGGTGCCAGACATCAGTTCTCATTGTCCAGGGCTGATGGAAAGAACCGGATCCTGTGTGAGCTAGATTCCACATACCTCCTGGTGGCCTTGACAGGAAAACTGACATGAGGGGGTTGTTTTCATAAAGACTGAGCATTGGGTAAACCACCTTAAGCTGGCTGAGGTACAGGCAGCTGGGCTGCAAGAATTCCTCTTGGGATAATTCGCAGCCTTCCCCAATGGGGCCATATGGGCCAGGAAGCTCTGTGTCTAGTCTCCTAACTCCTCCCTGAAGGTGTGGCTTGTGTGGAGCATCTGCCTATGATTTCAGACTCTGCTGTGAGGTTAGAGCAGATGTGGAGTCCAGGTGTCCTCCCTAAGATGGCCAGATTTAAACCTTGTTTCACATAATCCCACGACATCAGGTGCAGGTCCTAGGCTCCTGGTGTCCCCTGGCCACTAGAGGTCTCACCAGCTCTCATTTTCAAAATGGTTCTCCAGGGGCAGAGCAGGAGAGAAAAGGACATTCCTGTGAACACTGGCAGGCACTGTGGGAGGAGGGCCAGAGAGGATAGACCGTCCTCCCACCTGTGCTCACAGGAAAGCTGGAGAGCCCCTGGCACGGGGGAAGGGAAGTGGGGTCACCCTCCTCCCTTCCACATCCCACTGCTCCTGCCTCTTCTCAAACCCACCAGCCACCCCTAGGCTACATGGTACTCTGCTGTGATATCCCACCCCCTACCAGCATGCTGTGGTCTCTGTAACCCAGATTTCACCTAGATGATTGGATTTTTGAGGAGGAAGGGACCTCAGAGACCATTTAGGCCAGTGGGTATCAAACTTAAGGATGCATTCGAACCATAATGAGGACTCAATAAAACAGTGCTGGGCCCTACTCCTAGAGATTCTGATCAGTAGGTCTGGGATGGGGGAGAGGGACAAAGGATTTGCATTTCTAACCAGGTGCCACATGCTGGTGGTGGTGGTGGTCCGCGGACCCCATACTGAGAACCACTGGTCCAGGCAAAGCCTCCACTATGTAGGTGGGCAAACAGGCCCAGCTGGGGAACTTGCCAAGCTCACCCAGAAGGTCATGGCAGGCCCGGGAGTCAAGGCCTCTTTTCTCACCACAGCACTGTGACGGTGAAAATGGAAGTGTCAGGTGCCTGTACCCCTGGAGTGATGTAACTTCCCAGTCCTGAGGGGTATGTCTTGGGCCTCCACAAATTCCCCCAGGCTCTGGCGGAAACACTGATGCTAGGTGGTTGGTTGGGCTCCCTCACCAGGCCTAGCAGAGGGCTCAGCTCAGAATCA